GGCCAGCGGCAGGGGGCCCAGTGAGTCAGGGATGGCCAGCGCCCGCTGGTTCCAACGGTACAGCAGCAGTGCTGCGTCCAGGTGCCCCAGCGCACAGGCCCACATCTGGGGGCAGCAATGGGGTTGGAGACTGGTTTATCCAGCCTTGGGCACATCCCAACCCAGAGGTGACTGCATCTCACTGCCCAGAGAGGGGTCCCTGTTACACCCAGCTGTGACCCCACCCCAGAAGTGGCTGCATCTCAGTGCCCAGGGAGGGGTCCCTGTTCTACTTAGCTATGACCCACCCCAGAGGTGGATGCATCTCAGTATCCAAGGAGAGGCTCCCATTAATCCAGCCGTGACCCACCTCAGAGGTAGCTGCACATTAATGCCCAGTGAGGTGTCCCTGTTATACCCAGCATAACCCACCCCAAAGGTGGCTGTATCTCCATTATATACCCAGCCCCACCTCTAATGGAGCTCAGGCAGGATAGAGCAGTAGGGGGCGCCGTCCCTCCTGGCCCCACCCCAAACTCAGCTGCATCCGTGCCCACCCCCCCCAATCCAGCCCAGGGCCCCCCAGACTGACCAAGGGGGTGCAGGAGAAGTGGTCAACGTTGAGCGGATCCACTTCCTGCTCCAGGTCCAGGCTCTCAGCGCTGAGGTTCCTGCAGGGGAAAGGAGAAGTGGGGTCTCAGTACAACCACATTAGCCATGTCCCACCCCAGCCTCAGCCACCTCCAGGCCTCACCGCCAGCGGATGAGGGTCTGGATGAGCCGGGCATAGCCCTGCGCGGCTGCCAGGTGAAGCAGGGTCATGCCTCGGAAACTCATGTTATGGACCAGGGTCTCAGAGCGCAGCCAGCATGACCCGGCCATCATCTGCTCACACAAAGCCACGATGCGCGCCTCAAAGGAGTCCGCCGGCGCCTGCGGGGGGTAGGGAGGGTATGACACCTGGCTCCTGGCACCCACACCAGAGCCAGCACAGAGTGCTGTCATACCCAGCTCCACCCCAGAGACAGCCACATCCCGACACCGGATAAGATGCCCCCCTGTACCCTCCGCCCCCACCGTCATCGTGGAAAGAATCCGCGTCTTTCCTGGCGTGGCAGCTCGGAAAATGCCTCCCCGACCCCCAACAACCAGCCAAGAATAGCACCGGGCCCGCGCCAGCCCCGACACCCGAGCCCTGGCGCCCTTCGTGGGGCTAAAATTAACCTGGGGGGGGGGCCAAAATAGCAACGAGATAAAGGCTGAAGGGGTCCATGACGTCAAGGGTGGGGGGGGCGGAGAGGGAGCAGGGGAGGAACCCAGGTGTCCTGGGCTTCCAGCCCCCCCTTCCCAATCCTAGAGAACCCAGGCGTCGAAGCTCTCTGTTTTAATACTGCTGTCCCCTCCCAGAGCAGAGAGGGGGTCTCGGGGTGTCTCACCTGGCCCAGGGTGGCATCAGTGGGGGGCCCACAGGGGGCCGGGGGCTGCGCAGCTGTCATCTCCGCCATGCGCTTCTCCATCTGCTCCAGGCGCTCAAGGATGGACATGCGGAACTGGTTGTCTGTGGGGGAGAAAGAGGGGGTGGAAGGGTTACGAGGATCCCAGGGGACCCAGGCATCCGGATTTTCACCCCACCACACCAATCCCCCCCACCAGATTTACCCCCTTGCTAGAGAAGGGAGGGAACCCAGGCGTCCAGCACTCTCAACAGTCTGCCTAAGCTCACCCCCTACTCCTGCCGTGAGAACCCAGGCGTCCAGGTCCCCAGCCCCCCTGCTCTCACCCCAGGTCCCTCCCTGCCCAGAGAACCCAGGTGTCCGCCCCCCCACCCACGGATTAGCCTCGTTTCAGGCTAGCAGCTAATCAGCCTTGAGGGGAGATTAGTACCAGCCCCCCCCCGCCAGGGTGCCCTGGCTGGGGGGACCTGGACACTTGCGTTTTCTTGGGGAAGAGTGGGATCTGGGAGGTGAGACCGGGGGCGGGGCTGAAGGCCTGGACACCTGGGGTTTCTGTGGGTCTGGGCAGTGAGAGTGGGGGTTGGGGGTCAGGGGCCAGGATACCCGAGTTCTCTGCGGGCCTAGGGGGTAAGAGCGGGGGGGCTGGGGGCCAGGATCCCTGGGGTCTCTAGGAGCAGAGAGCTGGGGAGCCTGGGCGCCCGGGTTCTCTTGCGGGGGGAAGTGGGATCTGGGGGGTCTGGGAGCCCGGCCACCTGGGTTCCATCCCCCATAGCCCCCTGGTCCCCCTTTGTGTCCCCTGGAGGGTCACTCTAGCCACACAACCCCCTCTTACCCATCGCTGCGAGTCCAAGGGACCCCAAGAGCAGTGCCGTGCTCCCTCAAGTGCCTTCAAATGGGGGGTGCTCCCCCCACCACGTGCTGGGGGGGGGGAAGGGGGGGCACACACAGCCACCCCGAACGCCTGGGTCCCCTAGTCTGCCTGGCTGGCTGCAGGCAGGCCCCCGGCATGTGCAAGGGGGAGGGGCCATGGCTGGGGGCGGGGGTCCCCGCTGTCCCCCCTCCCCCGCTTTCCGGGGACAACCGGGACACAGACCAAAATAGAGGGGGGCGGGCACAGCCCCCTTGGGGCTGGGAGGGGCAGCCGATAATGAGCTCGCTCACACACACACACACACACACACACACAACCAAGGCATCCGGGACACCCGCACTCACACGCCCATGGGGTGGGCACCTATGTCTCTTCTCACCCCAGGAGCCCGGACTCCTGGGTTCTCCCCCTGCCCTGGGAAAGGCCTGGGGGCCCCAGATGCCTGGGAACGCCTCCAGGTGCTCTGCCATGGGAGGAAGACGCTCGTATCCCAGGTCAGAGCAGGAAGTCCCTGCCCCAGAGCACCCAGGAAGTCCCTGCCCCCCCCACAACCTCCCCTCTCCAGGCAGTCAGAGGACGCAGGAGTCCTGGGGACCCACACCAGGATGCACGTGGATAGGAGCGCCCCAGGGGGCTGGGGATACAGAGACCCCCTCTCTGGGGCCAAAAGGCAGCCACTTCTGGGGAGGCACTGGGGGTGGGTATAGCAGGAGGACCCCTGATGCAGCTGGCTCTGGGAGGGCACCAAGGGGTTGGTATAACAGCCCCCCCATGCAGCTGGCTTTGGGGTTGGGGGTCGTGGGACAGGAGGACCCCCCTTAATCCCATGGCACTTGTCATGGGCAGCAGTGACGCCAAGCGATTGGAAAAACCCACGGGGGGGCAGTGTCTTCTTACAGCTATTCCTGGCCTAGCACCCACGTGCCAGGCCCAGACACCTGGGTTCACTAGCCCAATACCCACTCCCCAGCACTCACCCAATACCCCCCCCAGCACTCACCATCCAGGGACAGCCAGTCCACCTGGGTGCTGGGAAGCGCCAGGAAGTTGCGGGCACGGTACTCAAACAGGACCGATGTGGACACGGGCCGGGAGTCACGGGCCACCTGCAAGGCCACCAGCCCGGCCTCATGGGCTGGTGGGATGCGGGGTGCAGGGTGAACAGCCCCCCCCCCCATCACTGGGTTGGGGTCCTCCAGAGCAGAGACCCCCACCCTGGAGCCACCCCATGAGCCAGGTGGAGCAGAGCTACATTGATCTCCAGCCAGATCAGACCTGTGCCCCGCACCCCCCGTTCCCCGTACCGGGGCAGTAGCAGCGCAGGACCCCGGGCTGGATGAGTGCAGCCGGCACGGCCACCTGGTCGAAAAGGCAGCTGTAGGCATCGCCGCCCTCGGTCCAGGGCCCCGTGATCAGCACCTACACCCCACCCTGGGGACAGGAAAGGGGGGGGGGTCAGAGGAGGGGAGGGTGGGACCCCACAGACCCCCCACAGTTCCCCCAGGTGCCCCCCACCCCTGCGTGCTCAGCTCCTATGTGCCCCAAAGATCCCCCATGCTCCCCTTGTACCCCAATACCTCCCACCCCAACTACCCCCCTCACACTCCCCTACCCC